GGGAGGTCCATTTCCAGCTCTCCTCAGCCAATGAAGGCTTGTCACAGGGGACTCACGTGGACGAGGCGCTCTTAAAACCTTGCTCCTGACTTTTCCTCAAGTTCAATTTTTTGGGATTCCCTCCCACCCCCATCACATCTTGTTCTTTTACTTACCAGTTGTGACTATTTAACCCAGTTTACCTCTCCTTTTCTCGCTTCTGCGGCGCGCAGCGTATCATACCGTGTCTTCCGCGTCTTCCTCTTTTCCTGCTGCAGCTCTCGGACTCTTCTCTCTCTCCCCCCTTTCTCTCTGCTTCGTGTGTTTTTAAGGTTCTGCTGTCCTGCTCTTAAAGAATGTGAACAGTTTCCCCCGGTCAACTATGTGGCCACAGGACGAGCTGCCCTGAACATTCACCTCCGGTCCAGGTCTGACGCCACGGTACCTGTCCATGGTGCTGAAACCGACGCACTGTTGCCGACGCTAGAAACAGTCATTGCTCCTGCGTCTTCTCATGTTCCGCAGGTGAGACCATATCACCGCCTTCATCTCCCCGACGAGGTTTCTGAACTCGAAACAGGAGCCGATCCTGTAGGAAGCAAAAAGAATCGATCTGTGACTCCAAGGGCTGCATCGATTTCAAGAGGATCCATCTTTACAGACTTAACAAGAAAAAAAAAATCGGATGCGTGGCCTATTGTTGTAACGCAACTCATCCTGGAGATATTTTATCTATGAAAAACCAGTTGGGGAACTGGATGAATATTTTTGGTTTGTAGCGTATCCAAAATAATTTGTTGGTTCGGGGAGGGGGGGCTCTTTCTTCTCTTCGGGATAAACTGAGACTTAAACACCCCCCTCCCTAAAATAAAACTTGTGCCGATTACCAAATGGTAGTTTGAGGAGGCCTCGCTCAAGACAATGGAGGCGTCTGCCAACGGGTCCAGTTTTGGAATCGACTCGCTACTGTCCCACAGGCCTGGAAGCCCAGTATCCAAAGGGGACGGCATGGTGGGGGAGTGTCGCTCGCCTCTGGAGTTCAGCCCAAGATCAGACGTGGAGAGCGGGTGCTCGTCGCCTCCTTCGCCGAGGAGAGAATGCGTGGAGGAGATGGCCCAGAGACCCGGGCACGGCGCCGGCCTGCCGCAGCACCTCCAGCACGCACAGATATCGGCGGGGTCGCAACAGAGGACGGTGACCTCGTCGTTCCTCATCAGAGATATTCTCGCGGACTGTAAGCCCCTGGCCGCCTGCGCGCCCTACTCCAGCAATGGACAGCCGACTCAGGAGGCGGGGAGGCTGGCCTCGAAGATAGCGGACGACTTTATGGAGAAAATCCACAGCAACTCGTCGTCAGATAGTGAATATAAAGGTAAGGACAAATGTATGTCCGTAGACCGTGAAGGAGCTGAGGTTGGAGATAAAACAACTTAGGCCTTTTCATACAGTACTCTTTATCTCATGGACAAAAGGACAACTTGTTAATAAGTATATTTGACATATATCTGGGCTCCTTCTTCCTTCGAGTTGACCTTTTAAAACACGTATTTGACCTTTTCAGGTGTTTGTGTGCTGTTGCAGTTTGTCTGGTCTTGGTGCTTCTTTTTCTGATTTTAAGAAAACATTTTAACTTGAAACCCCTTTGTAATTCAACAACAAATAAAATAAAAGTGTATCTGGAAAAATAGGGGAACACTAGAGTGGGGCATGAGTTTGGAACAATAATAAATTACATTTCAAAAACGCAAACTTCTAATATAATTTGAGTACTCTGCAAGGTGGGAATTAAGATAAGTCATTTTTAAGGCGTTGGGCATTTTTAAATAATAATAATAACAATAATAATACAACGAATTATTATTATTATTATTATTATTATTATTATCATAGGGGAGATCCAGGTCAAAAGTACCACTTTTTGTTTTTAGTCTGATAGTGTTAGAACGAATGTATCTTCCCTGATCACATTTCATTTGAGGACACTTAACACATATATCTAACAATATCCTTAGACATTTTTGTGAACAACTACCACCCCGAAGTAACCTTCCTTAACTACAAGCCGCACAACTGTACTTTCGACCCTACCCATCGGGTCAAAAGTACTGCCTGTCAGAAAGCCCAGAAATCGCATATTTCTGTTATGTAGATGTGTGTGAGGATTGTAATGATCATCCACTACACTTCTAATCATACTGGCCAAGCCACACACATTTAATATGACGATCGTGTGGACTAAAATGATTTTATTGTTTAGGATGCACTACCGAAGTGACAAACAGCCCAAATGCATTTTTAATATTGAAGTAAAATATTCCGTGTCTCCAAAATTTAACTCTCTAGCTAATGTGATGCAGTATCGATGGTGTCTAGCAACAGCAGTACTTTATGTGCATTAGATTACTCAGTAAAGCAGTAGTCTAATGCGTTGCAAGCCAAGCCCACAGGCGAAGCCTGTTTGGTCGCTGTTGCCCTCAGTAAACTCCCCCTTTAACCTCCTAAGCAGCTCGAAGGAAATGTTAGTGGCTCTTTCACACCTCTACTAGTTTTGCTCATCGTCACTCGGGGCATAATGTGTGAGCACAACACAAATCAAGCTAATTTAGCTCCTGCAGCAGGCGTTGTGCAGCCCCCCGGCGCTCTCCTGCAACTTATACCGTGCTCTCACAAAATACAGCCACGAGTGGCAGGTGTGCTTAGCACGAACATTTAACTAACAAATGGGTCTGCAAGATGTAAAATGTTTGTTTGTAAAGATATAAAACCGGAAAATAGCATTGTCTCCTTTTTTTGTACTTTAAAATCACCAAATGATAACCATCTCTGGACACCTCCAACACCACGGGGACTGTTGGCGCAAACGGAGTGGTGATTTTAAATAAGTTTGATAACCATAACGTCTGTGGCAAAGGAGAATTGGTCTCTGGCACAAAATAATGTAGGCTCTTTATTGATAAACTGACAATAGCCTACGGTTCTTTAGCAGGCCACCGGAAGCCACCAATAAGGAACAATCTGCTGCTGCATGGCGGCGGTGGAAACATGCCATTCGTCCTCTGTTCGTTTTCTTTAAGTTACTGTACATTTAAATCTCATGGCACATTAGCAGAATGTACAGAAAACATCTGTTGATGTCAGGGAGGCCAGAAGGGGAGAGGTGTCAGGGGTCGCCTCCAGATAAATGCCATCAAGGGCCTCTCTGTTTCCAGTCATGTCAGCCATAACAGACACGTCACCTCCATTGACAGTTTAATGAAGCAAAGTAAAAGTCGACCGTTGTAACAAGGAACACAACTAAAACCCAATATCATTATCAATCTATTATTATTATTCACATGGTTTTCTTACTACTTCACCTTTCTCTAAAGCTATTGATACAGTACGGCGTCAAGTCATCGATTAGTTCAACAAATTCGGGTTGTGAGCTTGCGTGTGTCCGCGCGCTCCCGTGTGTCACTGTATGGATGAAGATGCTCATCGACGCGCTGATTGATTGGAGAAGCCGCGGGGCCCGCAGAGCGTCTGTACGGTGGCTTTGATTTCCACGAATCCGCCTCCTATAATATTTCCGGGATTTGATGCAATTTGTCCCCGGCGCTAATCAGATTTGTAAGCATGCGGGGCTGTGCGGGGCCGCGCGGCGCTTGATTTCCACTCATTTCCACGGTCCTGTGAAGTTTCTCCGGTCGCGGCTGAAAGGCTCGTCCTTCCCTTGTGGCTCAATTAGGCGGATTATTGTGCTTCTTGAGACGACTCAACTATTCAACTACCAAGATCTCTCGCCTCACTGGTTTCCCCCCTTCTCTTTCCTTCTTTTAGAGAATTTAGGATACTATAAGGAGTGTGTATAATGTTCAACCTGACATGACAGCACGCAGAAAAAGAACAAAGAGCCTACTGATGGAAAAAAATATCTGGCTGGAAGCCCGAATATTGGAGGAGCTTTTCAAAACAATTTAAGACCAAACCATAGCTCCATACTTGGATTTCACCCTGCAGGAGAAGGTCCTCCCCAAAAATACAGAAAAGGTTCTGAGATCCAACATAGATTTTAAACATTTGAACAATAAACGTTTAAAGCGTTTCTTAATCACTTTCTTCAAAGTTACCATCAAGTAAACAGCGTGTTTTGGAATCACAGCTGTTGAAATCAATCAACCAAATTCATACATACAAGCTTCACTGTAATGAAAAGCTTTTTTTTTCATTTATTATTATAATTTACAATAACTGTCTGTCATAGAATATTACGATGCTACACAGATGTGGGCTATTTAAGTCTGGCTGCACGTCCACACAAAGGTGGATGTAGCCTTACATTCTACTTTTTTGTCTCTTCTTATGGGCGCTGTTTCTGCCCTCCAGTGAAAGAGGAGGGGGACAGGGAGATCTCCAGCAGCAGAGACAGCCCTCAGGTCCGGCTGAAGAAGCCCAGGAAGGCCCGGACGGCCTTCACAGACCACCAGCTAGCCCAGCTGGAGCGCAGCTTCGAGCGGCAGAAGTACCTGAGCGTCCAAGACCGCATGGAGCTGGCGGCCTCCCTCAACCTCACCGACACACAGGTCAAGACCTGGTACCAGAACCGGAGGTAAAGGTGCTGCTGCAACTTCTTATGAGGGAGGGGGGGAGGACGGGGTAATCTGGTTTCCCACGGCTGGTTCCTTATGGATGGAACCAGGGACGCCATGTTTTTCTTTCACCAGCAACACAAAGCGTGCACGAGTCTGTGCCACTAGGACTGCAACTAACCATTATTTTAATTATTAATCAGTCTAATCTGCATTTCTTTCCTCGATGAACTCACTGTTTATTTCCATAAAACGTCACAGTTTCCCAGAGGCCTCCCTCCTAAAACTAAGAGAAACCTCAAGAATTCAGTCAGATACAGTCAAAAGCTACAAGAGGAACCATTTTGCTCAGGCTACTTTTAAACTTGTGACAATTCATAGAATAATTAAGCAGCTTCTGATTACATTTCCTGCCAATCAACTAACTGTTTTTCCTGACTGTCCAATCTGTTTAGGTTTTTGTAATTTAAAATAACTAACAACCCACCTACACTTTTAATTTTATTTCAATTTTCGTCCTCATTTTCTTAAGGATCCCCAATCACAACAAATCATAGAGACACGTTTTCTTTCTACAAATCATACATTTGTTGGAGGGTTGGGTGTTTACTTCCTCAGTTTTCAGCATCTTTCACGCAACACAGTAACTTTGTTGAGGTTCGTGTATAATTAAAGTCACACTGACCCTGCAAATGGTTTCACAACCGGGGTGTCAAATTCTTGTAAAAGAAAACAGTAAGACAAACCGTCTTTGTCAATGGAAAAACGTGTTTTCCGCAGTTTCCGGCTGAATTACACTCAGCATTTATTTGTGCACGGCTCTGACGCTCAGGCAGCTAAAGGACATAAATAAATATAAGAACACAACACTTTGGAGTATGAATAATGCATCGTTGCATGTGTGCGTATCAATAATTCAAACAAACCACTATATCTACTCAATTATCTTTATTATGAATTATTCACCTGCATGGAGAGCAGAGCATACTGGCAATCTAGCAGACATCCTTGGGTGTGAAAACAAGCGGCAGGTTGGACATTTCGACAATTTAACAAAAGACATGTAGCCTATTTCTGACTTCTAATTGGACCCCAGGTAAACAGAAGGGAGTCGTTTTGTTGTGTCAAATACAAACACGTGATTAATACTACGTATATATATGTATACATATATTTGTGTGTGTGTGTGTGTGTGTGTGTGTGTGTGTGTATGTATATATAAGCAAGCTAAAGGCTACAACTTAAAAAATATATTTTCCAGGACAAAGTGGAAGAGGCAGACCGCGGTGGGACTCGAACTACTGGCGGAAGCTGGAAACTACTCGGCCCTGCAGAGGATGTTCCCGTCCCCGTACTTCTACCCGCAGAGCCTGGTGTCCAACCTGGATCCGGGAGCGGCCCTCTACCTGTACAGAGGCCCCTCGGCGCCTCCACCGGCCCTACAAAGACCCCTGGTCCCGCGGATCCTGCTGCACGGCCTGCAGGGGGGCAGCGAGCCGCCACCTCCGCCGCCCCCTCTGCCCCCCATGTCCGGCGTGCTTCCCAGGCCGGCACAGCAGCGATGAGCCGGCCCCTGCAGATTTTTTTTCTTTATTCCTTGCACGCCGAATTTGGCAGCTTGGAACTCGTTAGAAGAAACAACAGGAAGACAGAAAAGATCAAAACGTGACGAACAAGAGAAAAAAAGGGCAAAACACTGTCCCGCCTTTCTCTGGTGCGAGATGTAGGCTGACCATGTGCACATGCAGCTTTGTGACTGAAACTCAAACTGTCTGTGTGGAAGGACTTTTTTTTTCCTGGAACAGGAGTTTTATTTATTACTTATTTATTTTTCAACATGAATCAAAGCATCTAAGTTATGTATTTATTTGATTCCTCTTTCAGTATTTTCATTGTTTTTCCCAACAGAAAAAAAATGTTTGTTGGCACTTTGACCTACAGTTCACTGCCAATTACACCTATTGGCATTATTCATTATTATTATTAATTAGTATAAAGTGGACATTAGTGGCCAACGCGGAAATGTAATTTGAATATAACGTATTAGGAGGATCTAAATGACCAACTCATACTTTCTTTCAGAATCTGTCGTTTTTCCTTTACACGTGAAGAACCACGAGTCATGAACCTGTAAATAAGAATATTTTGCATTTTATTCAAGAGACTGACTTTAAAGAAACGTTTTGTTTGTTCGTTTCGTGTTTTTCTTTTTCAGATAACAGTGATCCAGTTTAACACAATAGGTCAGATTAGCCACCAGAAACTATACAGGCGAACGAGTCCGTGCGTGTGAGAGGATGGACGACCTTTGTGGGCCCTCGGGCACGAAGACGAGAGCTACGGAAAGAAAGAAATCTATATAAAGTCTTTTTTCTTGTTCTTAGTTTAAGTTTTAGCGGAGTGAAAACGTCAAGTAATTTATTTAAAAAATACAGTTTTATCCCCCCAGAGGGGGAGGCAGTCACCTCAGTGATGTTTATTTTTATTTTTGATAAACCGATTGGACTCGGGTGCCTGTTGACTTATTATTATTATACCTGTATTTGAACAGACGTTGTGCATTACTTATGTCATATTTCATATGAAGCCGTGATAACCCTTGTTATACTCTCCTTTGGTGAAAATGTATATTGCAGATAACAAACTTGTGGAGTGGTTCTCGTATATTTCCTGGCTTGTTTTTCATTTTTTCCCCCGTTCCTCTAGTTTCCCCAAACTCTCTCCCCCATCTCTTTTTTTTTTTTTTTTTTGTTTCAAATTCACAGGAAATCTTGGACAGAAACGGGGGGATTTGATGTGAAAGAGAATTACTTTTATAAATGTGGAAATAAAAGTCTTTCATTTTATTACGCGGCTGCGTGAGTATCTGTGAAACAGAAACGTCGCGGTGCTTGTTCGCTCCGTTAAGAAGTGGACGAAACCGCAGCAACACCATAACGCAACAGTGTCCCCGCACCACTTCGCCACCTGAGATGCTTAAAACGTGTCATTCTGTTGCCTCTGCATAAGTGATGGTTCATCTTTATGTTGGTTTGTAGCGTTTTTGTGTTGTTCTGCTTTTTGTCCACCTCTTACGTGCACAATGGATGTCTTTAAGCAGCTCAGTTTAGGATTATCACACATTTTACTACCGAAAATAGTCTTTGAAAATCTTTGAAATAATTTTAGACTTGGTACCAAAGTAAATGTACCTGACCAAATCAGAAAAATGACTTTATATCAGACCACGAAGAAAAACCCTTAAGTGTGCGCAGAGGCCTGCCTGATGGTGCCCACTGTTCAAATCGGTTTTATTATAAAGTGATATGAACATATGTCAGTGGAAGTGAGCAAAGGTTGAGGAGATGGATGGTGCAGCTTTAATGAAACAACTCCACTTTTCTGGAAGTAGCACGAAAATAAACACAATTTAAGGGGCCGCGATTTTTTTATTAGAGGAAAACGTGTTGGAATGAATTTGAACATGTCTGTCAAACGACTTCTCCTTTCTTTGTTTGGTTTAGTGTCGCTGACTTAATTTGTTTAATGTTGAGATGAGGGCATGGGGGTGGGGGGGTTAAAAGTCAGAGCAGCAAGTGGAAAGTGTTTAGCATCCGTTTTCTTAACTTTTTCAAAAGAAGAGCGGAGACTTTTAAGATTTTTTTTACAGCTTAGTTCAGTTTGGTTTAAAGTTAAAGTTATTCAGTGTTAATTACAGAAATGTTGGTTTTTGCTGGCCTACATATTAAACTGTTTCCAAGGTTTATTAGAGTCTTTTTTTAGCTGGCCTATATGCTCGAACACAGTTTTGATTGCATGATGGAGGCAAAGGCTTGTTTGGACATTGGTAAAGCGCGTGCACGTACGCGTTCAAAAGTGCAATCAAAGATCAGCTCCAGCTTTCGTGCTTAGATAAGGGTCAACAAAGCAGAAGGGTGCTCGGTCCAAAATGGAGCTGCTGTCCTGTCTCTCTACCCCCCATTATTCCCACTTTCAGAAATTAACAGCAGAACTCCAATTCGTTTCCCATAAACAATGCAGTAGATGAAATATTAATGTTATGTGCACAATTGTTTAAGTGCCCTAAATGGTCCCATTTGGAAATTGATTGTTTCCACCCTTCTTTTCCTTGAGGGTGCTGGATGTGCGCTGCGCTGCCAAACGGCTTCAACAGCTGGTGACCGGGCTTGAGCTGACTGCAGACCGGGGATCAGCGTGGGGACAGCTGGTCAGCGGCACCACCACCCCCACCCCTCCCCCATATGCATCTCGCCCAACTACCAACCTCAATCCCCCCACCCAAGCATGTGTGGACCCAAAGTTATCCGGCCGTGGCGCGTTGGGGGTTAAAGGAGTTCAGGCTGACGGACACGACTTGGCGTGTAGGATGTTAACGATTAGACAAAAGACTTTAATAGCTTTAATTGAAAGTCGATAATGGCTTTGATAGCCAGCTCCCCCTGCTGTCACCCACGCATGGCACCTGTTATCTGAGGCCTCCACTTAGTGGCCGACCACGCCGTGAAATATCGGGAAGGCGGCCCGATAACGGCGTGCATGATGCGTAAAACGGCATTAAAAATTCAGTGGGTCGAGCCGCAGGGGTTTGGCGGCTTGGAAAGTGAAAAGAGGGGAAATCATAAACCTCCCAACTTGCCAAAAGATCATTATAGTCCCATCACGGGGATCCGTGACCGATTCAAATAACGACGACCCGTGTTTATGAAAAGGGGGTTATTCTTGCAAAGTACACAGCTGATTATTTAAGGAAAGCGCCCATGTGTCTTGTTGGATGACTCGGAGATTTTTTTCCTCCTCTTTTCTTTGCATGTGAAAGGCTGGGCGGTAAATCCCCCGACTCTTAGCGTGGATTGTCCCCGGCTCAGGGTTAATGAAGTGCTGTTGGAGTTTCGTTGAGCTCCCGACAGACCAAAAAAAAAAAGGCTTAGACCTAGACAATCAGTGGCTCTGCTTAATCCCATGGACTCCTAATAATAATAATAATAATTTAAAAGAAAAAAAAACTCCAAGCAAAAACAACCTTTTGAAGAAATTAAGTGAACTAAAGTATAATTTGTACTCGGACGCGTTTATCTTTTCTTTCATTGCTGTCAGCGGACCAGATTGTTTCAACACTGCACCTAGTTTAAAAAAAAAGACAGCCAGCGAAATTGAAAAATGGATCAATGAAAACATTCAGTTAAGGCATGGCCTATTCCATCAGCAATAGCCAAAAACAAAAAGACCAAACTTCACAGTTTTGTGCGCATAAGCGAAATTAAACTGGCCATTAGCTACAAGGATGTTAGTCAGAAGAAGCTGCATCACTAGTCCCTAAAGCCTATGGCCTCTGCATCCAAGAGGCATTTTGGAACAACCTTTCAAGTCATGGTAGCACACAGACGCGTTTCAAAATAGAGCGAAAGCACTTTATTACACACAGACCCTCATGTGTAACACTCCAAACAAAGTGTTTGACTTTGGTTCTCAGAAAAAAATATAAGTTTTTTTTTCATCAACATTCATACTCAAAGGCCTGTGTCCTCTTTCTCTCTTAGCAGGACATTACAAGTTTGAAGATTTAAACAAGGGGGGAAATTAATGGAGAAAAATTCTGTGGACCTATGTGTTTCATATCAAAATATCTGTTTTAAATAGTATCACATCATGGTATAAATGTAAATATAGGATGCATGATGTTCTGTTCATGATTGCTGTGTTAAAAGCTTAAGGAGCAGGTAACAAAAAGTCTAGTAGTCATAACTGACACAAATATATTTTATTTGTCCTTCACATTAAAATGTGACCTAACTTTATTCACCCGAGTAATTTTCCACAGGTCCAACAGCTGAAACAAAGGCATAGAAAAAAGGACAAGGGGGTTTAGCTTTAAAATGAATCTAACTCAGCAATGAACAGAGACATTTAGAGATGAAGGATGTGATGAATGCGTATAAAAAGGGAGAGTGTGAAGGAGTGAAAGGAGAGCTGCTCCGCTCCTCGCCTGGAGGTACAGGGTGGAGGGGAGATAACCCCGCTAATCATTTCCCCAATATGACGGGGGATGACTACAAACTTGGGTCAGGGGCGCGGGGATTGACATCCCAATCTCAGCAAATAATGAAAGCTTTCCTCTCGGATCAGAGGGAGGGTTAGGGAGGAAGACAGAAGGGGAGAGGAGAGCGAGAACTGGGGATGGAGGAGGGGAAGACGAGAAGTGGGGCTGCTGCTTCACAGCCACACACAGCCTGCACTTGAAACCTCTCATTCTTTCATTTCTTCTAGAGTGCAGAGGACAGTGACTGGCCCAGCTGACTGGACTATGTGGTAGCTTAAAGACACTGAGGCACCAAAAACTTCAGTAACGTTGGTAAAATTACCAAGAGACCGAAGGTTTTCCAAGAACCAAAACACCCTTTACCTAATGTTTAAAGGACCTCAAGTCACATTTGTAACAACATATGTTACACTCTGTTTCAGAAGCTTTGTCTGAAATGATTTAATTCATTCAAGTGGTTTAGCCTAGCTAGCTATCAATTAATGTTAAGGCTATTAAGCAGGTATGATGCTACATTAAAACAATGTACAACAATGCACAAACAGCCTAATTCAACATCACTGCTACACTTGTAGTAGCTTAAAAACAAAATAGCCTAAATTATTATTTTATAGTGCAAGAAGTAGCCAACAGAAGATGTAGTTAAAGCTACGTTATAGTGCAAGAAGTAGCCAACAGAAGGTGTAGTTAAAGCTACTTTTAAATTAGCTGCTGAATTCATTGGTGTCAATATTGGATTTTTTTCTCATTTTGTTGACACCATGATTGTTTTTGCCAACTGAGAAACATCTTAACGCTGTCAGAAATTCACAA